GTGCCCAGCCCTCCCTGCTGCTGGCACAGAGGGTGCACATCCAGCCCTCCCCTCCCGGGCCTCCTTCCCAAAGGCGGGCGGGAGCCCTGTGCCTCCCTCCCCTCGTGACTGTGATAAACATTACACCGAGGCCGTTAATGTTTAATGAGGTTTGTCTCCCAATTAACGTGCCTTCCCGTGGGTGCCCGCTCCCAGAGCGAGGCGCCCGCCGGACGAACCGCAGAGGGGGTGGGTGACGGGAGCGGGGTGGCTGGTGGGCACCTGCAGCCAGCACCCTGCTTGCCCAGCCTGAAGGGGCTCCCTGGGGAGAGCAGGCACCTTCCTGGGGCCTCTCTGTGTGCGAGGAGCAGGCTGGTCCCTCCGAACTCCACACAGCTCTCGGGGAGGGCTTGGGGGAGATGTGGGGATGAATCCCCAGAGTGCTGCAGCCGCTGGCACATCGGTGCAGGCTGGTGTTTGGCTTCTCAGGGGCATTTCTCCTTCCAAGCAGCTCCCAGCAGAGGGCTGTGCAGTCAGGTAAGGTGTCTTGAGCAGTGACACACAGCTGCCAGCTGGCTGAGCCTGCTGGTGTGCAGGGAGGCTGCCGGGATGCAGGGTGCAGGGTTGTTGGGTGCTCTGCCTGGTGGGAGCAGAGGCATCGCTGCCCCGCCGAGCCCCACGGGCACCCTCCCTTCCCCAGGGTTCTGCGAGGGCTCCCCAGCTGGGGGTGCAGCCTTAGCAAATAGCAACCAGCTGCTGCCAACCACCGAGCTGGGTCCCTGTCTGCAGCTTCACCTGGAGCCCCAAGGCTCCCGTGCATCCTCTGAATGCATCCTGCAAACGCACTGGGAACTTTAAACTTCCTGGGGTGAAAAACAGGAATTTGGGAATCTTTTACTGGCTTGGCTAGACCTTAAGAAAGTCAAAGCAGTCTTCATTCTTCATCTTCTCCACCTCACCTCCCCACCCAGGTGCCCACTGTGAGCCCAGGGCCCTGGCCCTCACTTGGGTTTCTCCTCTTTTCCAGAGCAAGTGCCTGAGCAGGGCCAGGACAGGTTCAGCTACGGTGAGTGTGTGCCCAGTGTGGCTGGGGGGTGGGGGGAGGGGGGCTGTGGGCAGGGGGACGGGCAGTCTGCTCCTGTGCCTCAGCCAGGCTGACACCTGCTCGGGTCTCCTCTCCTCCTCCCCAGACTATGAGACCATCCGCAATGGGGGGCTGATCTTTGCCATTGTGGCTTTTGTCGTCGGGCTCCTCATCATCCTCAGTAAGTGTCTGGGGTGGTCCAGGTGCCCCCTCAGCTCTGTAGCTCTGTGCGTGGCCCCTTCTTTGCTCAGCTCTCTCCTCGTCCTGTGCCAGGCACTGGCCAGCTGCTGGGTGGGGGCCCACTGACCCTGCCCCACTATCATCGTCTGCAGCCGTGGCTGCCTGGGAAATTTCCATCTAGGCAAGCTCCCAACAGAAAGCGAGTTGGGAAGGAGACCACGTAAATATTTAGTGTTTCCCTGCCAGCGCCAAGGCTTCAGAGAGAAGGTCACTAATTAAAAATAGCAGAGAAAAGTCTGACATTTCCAGAGTGAGAAACCAGCTTTCCCAGAGCCCTTAGACCTCAGCAGCTCCCAGAGAGATCTGGTGCTGAGTGTGTAGGGCACCCTGTGCCCCTGCCCGTGTGGACAGGCTCTGCCTGCTTTGCTTGGCAGCATTGCTGCTGCGTGGACCAATGCTGCCCTGCAGTTTTAGGGAGAAAGATAAAGAAATTGCCTGCATCTGCAATCGTGGAGGCATTTCAGGGAGAAAGACAGACATCTGAGCTGGCACTCGTGGCTGGCGTGTTGCTGGGTGGTGCCGGGGGCTGCAGCTTTGGGGGCTGGGGTGGCGCAGGGGGCTGGCCAGGCAGCACAGCTGAGCTGGGTCCCGAAGGCAGCACTTGGAGCCAGTGTCTCCCCCACCGGTGGAAGCCACGGGGCTTCTTGCAGGAGCCAAAGCCAGCGGTCCTCCGTGGAGAGAGAAGCCCGTGAGCAGAACTGCTTCACCAGAGCAGAGAGGGGAGGGTGAGATGGGGCAGGGGGAGAAGGCTGCAGTGACAAGTGGCCTCAGTCACTCCTCTTGCCCTCAGGCCAGCGGTTCCACTGTGGAGGGAAGAAGAAAAGGAGGTGAGTATTGCACGGTTTTAAGGCTGCCCCATCTCTCCTCCGTGTCCTGGTCCTGCTAGCTGGAAGGGGTGGGGTCTCGGCTCGTAGTCCCTCCCATCTCAGCCGTGTTGCCCTGCGTGACACATCTGCCCTTGCTTTTCACTCCACAGGCAAGGAAACGAGGAAGACCTGTAGCTGCAGGTAGGTTGCAGGAGGATGCACCCAGCTGGCAACCAGGCTCCGTGGATCTGCCTGTGCTGGGCAGCGATGCTTTGAGGAATTACCTATGTGAGGGTTTGTCTCAGGGGGAGAGGAGCTAAGGCAAGGTGGCCTCTGTGGCCATATAACCCTCCCTCTCTGGTTTCAGAGCTGCCATGGAAGCAGAGCTTCATCCAAAGTGGAGAAGTCCTTGGCAAGGGCCACCCCTTACCCTGCTCCAGTGGATCCATTAGCCTGGTCCCCCCAGGCGAGGCCAGAACGCAAATTGCCCTCGTGCTTTCCCCTCTGTTAGATCCTGTGAGAGTTTCTTGGCTAATAAAGTTCAAGCTGAGAGAGGTTAAACTTTGTGCCCGAGGCATTTGAATCGCCCACTCTCCTGGCACCAATGACTTCTCTGCCCTGCAGCCATTTTCCAATGCCAACCCACGAGAGGTTTCTGCCAGCTCCCTCACAATCCCGTGGCACAGAGCAGCCAGCTGTCTCTGCTCTGGGTTTGCAGTGGGACCTGCAGAGGAAGGGATGTTCCCACTCCCAGCTGCTTTGAAGAATCATCCTCTTGCCCAGCGTGAGTGCTGGCTGGGGGTGCCTGAATCCTGTGGCGTGTGCCCTTCCCCAGCCACACCCACTGAGGGGCTGCCTGCACACTAGCAAGGCATGGGAAATCAAAAAGTCCCTGAAATCTTAGCAACGACTGAAAACATTAGCCTATTATCAGCATTCTTCTCATACCAAACCCCACAGTGAATCCGAAACGCAGCACTGTTCTAGCTACTAAGAAGAAAAATCAGCTCTCTCCCAGCCCAAACCAGGGCAGACTGCTTGGATGAGAACTGGGCTGGGAGGGTGCGTTCAGCCCTTCGGATTCCCAGCCTCTCTCCTCTCTGGATGCAGCCGGGAACCCTGCCGGGAGAACAAAAAGGAGCCGGACTCTCGCCGTTGGGCGGAGAGCGAGTGAGGAGGGAGGTTCGCTCCCGAGCGCGGGTGAGCTGGACCAACACAGACATCTAGCGACCAGCCGGGCAACTCCGCTGCAGGCTCACGAGGGACGCCGCACCCCGCCGGGGGGGCG